GGGAGACTCAGACTGGAAGGACGGAGGGAGCCACGTGCAGGTGCCCGCGGGCTCTTCTCCGGCCCCCACCCCCGAGTCCACGCGGAGGCCTGGCTGCTGGGGGCGGGGGTCCCAGGACCCCAGAGAGCAGGCTCTGGCCAGGTCACCCTGCTTGGGCCCGGCGGCAGCGCCAGGCAGCCACGGGAGTCTTTGCTCCCCCTTGTGGGCTCAGACCCTGGGCAGGCGCCCCCTCACCTGCACCCCACGCCCGGGGGCTCCCAGCGAGCCGCCCCACTCCCGGGGCATCCCCGTCTCCCGGGGATCACATTGCCGTAACTAGCCAGGTGTCCCGCTGGCTCTATTGCCCAGGCAACCGGCACGTGACCGCTCTGTGCAGCGCAGCGGCCGCACGGCCCCGGCTCCCGCCTTGCCGCGGCCTCGCTCCGGGGGGAGGGAGGGGTGTCTCTGGGCTTGCTGCGGGCCGCAGGCGGGCGAGGTCTGTTGTGTCTTCCCGGCCACAATAATCAGCCCCGGGGCTGCCTGACCCTTCGTCCGGAGCCTCTTAGACAAAACCAAGCCCAGAGAGGCGGGGGGGGGGGGAGGAAGCCGTGCTCAAGCAGGAGCAGGCGGCTCCAGGCACGGACCAAGCGGGCCTCTGCCTTCCTCAGGGAGGAGAGGTGCAGCCTGCAGGGCCCCCTCCAGGGGCAGAGGCAGGGGCAGGGGCCGGATCGGCGGGGGCTCGTCTCTGGACAGGCCGCGCAGGCTGGGCCAGGGCGGTCGTGAGCACCCCTGCAGCCTGGGCCAGCCTCGCACTCCCAAGCTCAGGCCAAAGCCAGAGCAGCTCGCCCAGGGCCCTGGCGCCTGCAGCTCTCGCCGAGCTGCCAAGCTGCAGCACTTGTCAGACACGGTCAGGGCCCACCGGGACCAAGGCTGTCACTAATAATGGAGAAGGGCCACAAAGGGGAAGGAAGAGAAGCAGTGATGCAGCCACCGTGGAAAAACCCAACGGGGAGCACTGTCTGGAAGACGAGACGAGCTCCCGGCACACAGCCACAGCAGGGGCTGAACTAACAGGCAGAGCCGCGGCCTGACAGCCAGTCCCAAAAAGAGCGGGGAGCGATCAGTTGGTAAAGGAGCTCATCGGTGCCGGGCAGACCGAGGCTCGGCGTGTTCCCGCTGCACCAGCTCCGGGGGATGCGAGCCCCTGCCCGTGGCCGGCCGTGCAGCGCGCGGTCACTTATCACAGCAGCGCGCCCGGGGAGAGGGAGCTCCCTGCACACGTGACCCTGGCAGCCTTGCCAGCCCTGGAAAGTAGGTCAGGACCGGGAGCGGTGCGCATGGCACAGTGGGGTCGGGTGACTCGCCAAGGTAGTGCCAGGCCTGGCAGCAGACCCTGGAGTACACGGGCAAGGCAGGTCAGGGGACAAGGCAGGGAGCCAGGGAGAGCCAGGCCATGGGCCGCGCGCACAGCAGGGAGCCAGCACTTGCCACCCGCAGTAGGCAGACACCCTGACACCCACCCAGATCCCCTCCTGCTACTGCCCTCCGGGGCGTCACTTTGCACCCTCCAGGGACCCCCGCCAGCCTTGAACAGCCCTACAGCGTGCACAGAAGGAGCTGCATGCAGCGCACAGCTGCTGAGCTGCTGCCCCCCTCCCCTGCCCAGCCCCAGCCCCGCCGTGCCAGGAGCAGTGCAAGCCAGCCCACCCGCACCCAGAAGAGACGCCCCCTCGAAGGGCGCAGCTTGCAGAGCCACTGCCATGCACCAGAATAACGAGCGAGCACGTGGGGCTCAGCTCGGGCACCCCGTGCAGCCCCTCCCCACGAGCCTGGCTTTGCTGAACACTTCCGCAGGGTAGCCAGAGCTTAGACTCAGCAGAGGCCCATCGCGCTGCATGGTGCCAGCCCCACCACCCCTAAGGACCCAGAAGGGCAAACACCAGCACTGGGCATCTGGTGGGTGCTGGGGCCGGGCTCAGCATGACCTCAGCCCTGCTGATCCAGGACTCCACGATCCCAGGGCACTCGGCTCATGGCAAGCCAGAGGGGCCGGGCTGGGGGCAGACAGCCAGCACAGGGGCTGTCAGAGGCAGTGTGGGGGAGAAAATCAAATTATTTCATAAGTGAAGCGGCTCCTGCTTGGAGCCTCGGGGCTGACAGTGAGCAGGGCTCTGCTGGAAGTCATCAGCAGGACCCGTGCCCAGCTCATCGCCCTGGGGCTGCTCCCTCGCATCAAATGCCACAGCAAAGGGTGCAGGTAGCACACAAAGGCCCTTGCCCTGCTCCCACTCTGCAGCAGGCACAAGGGCCACGTGTATGCAGACCTGCACGACCATGAGCCTGGGACCTGTCAGACCATGCACCCCTCGCACTGCCTGCCCTAGCCACAGGTTCACACCTGCCCGTGCCTCCTTATGCCCGCCCTAGTGGGACCAGGCCCCCCCGGGGTAGACCGCCTGGCTGGGATGTGGCACTCTCCTCTCCAGCACATCACCCAGGCAGTGATGGAGCCCTGCAGGATCCCAGCACCGGGGCAGGGAGACTGCAGACAACAGCTCCCTGCCAACAACCCCCACCCCACAAAAACGACCCCACTGCCACAGACGGATGGACAGCCCACGGGGGCTGCTCATGGCCTGCAAGGGCAGAGAGGCTATGCTGGATTCAGGCCCCACCCCGGACACAGGGAGCCGTGTCTGATGTGCAGCTCCAGGCACGCTGCTCTCTGCTGTGCTGTGTGCCCAAGCCCCGGAGCCTGAGCCTCTCCGGACAGGAGCTGGTCTCTGGGGACACCAGGGGATCTGCAAGGAAGAGGGGGAACAGACACCTCGGCCTGGGCATGAGCTGCCCCACGCTCAGCAAGCGAGAGCAGGAGGCCTGGCACTGCCTGGTGGTGACCTCCTGCCCCGTGGCAGGGACGCAGCAGTGATGCCCGCAGAGGTGCGTGGAGACAGCGCACGGATGCCAGCCAGGATCAGTATCTAACCTGGACTCCTGCCAGCCTCAAGGGGAGGGAGAGGCAGCCTCAAGGGAGAGAGGGAGGGAGCGCGCTGGAGGCCCCATGCCTCACGCTGGCACCTGCAACCCGGCCGCAGCAGGGCTGCCTGGGCAAGGGGAACGGGTGCTGCAGGCCAGGGGCCCTGGCATAATCACCCACCCGAGGCAACAGTTAATAATTAACCAGCGAGCAGCTGCTGAGCTGGCTCCACAGCACAGCAGACAGAAAGGCCGCAGTGGCGTCAGCGCTGCTCCCACGCGCCCAGGAAGGTTGCAGGCGCCTCATGGCAAGACAGACAGACAGACAGACAGACAGCCAGGCCCAAGCTGGGCACAGTCCCACCCAGTGTGCCCCTCGTGGAGGGGAGACAGCAGCATGGAGCCCTTTCTTCACAAAGGCCACAGCACCCAGGCGAGTGCCCAAGGAAACTTTTCACCCCGCAGCACTTGGCGCCAGTGCCACGGCCGTGACTGCGGCTCCATGCTGTCACCTGCCCGTGGATGCCCTGTGTGCCCCCCCAGCTGGCACATGTGAGCCACCCACGTGGGACTCAGGGAGAGACAGCCCTGTGGGCCAAACACCTCACATGGGCTCGAGCAAGCTCCCCTGGGCCCCAGCCTGTAAAGGTGGGTCAAGAAAGGACACCGGGAGTTGGGGCTGCCAAGCTGGAAAGTGGAGGTTTCACCTACCTGCTGCCCGTCCATACGTGGCCCCAGGGCTCCGGCCTCCCGCCGGGATCATGCTCTTCATCCACTTGGCTTCGGCAGGGTGATTGAACCGGAGGAAGGTCGACTGGCCCAGGCAGATCATGCACCCTAGGGGAGAGCAAGGCAGAGCGTGACGCGCGCGGTCACCCACACACTCGGCCAGGGCCCACAGCCCAGGCAGGAGGCAGGCTCTGACGTGGGGTGGTGGCCCCTGAAAACCAGACCACCTGCCTCCCCCAGCCACCTGGTGTCCCACGTCAGGTGTCCTGCCGCTGCCTGGCGGGAGGCTCCTGGTGCGCCTGGCTGCAGGCACAGGGAGCACGCGAAGGGGAGGCAGCTGGCAGCAGAAGGGCCTCACGCATCTGCCGAGAGCACGATGGCCGAGCCTGGGTGAGGGCGCCCCACACCAGACCCAGAGACTTGCTCCTGGCTACACTCTCCTGTCCCCGGCCCAGAGCCTTCTCCCAGCAACAGGTAGGCTGCTCAGCCACTGGAGGGGAGCACGGAGCCAGGCTGGCCCCCAGCGCATGGCACCAGGGGCAAACAGCGGCACCACCCGGAAGACGGCTGAGAGGAGAGAGAGGACCAGGGGATGGGGCTGGCCTGGGCTGGTGCCAGAGGCCAGGCAGCAGGCCCAGCTTCTAGAAGAAGCAGCAGCACTGCGAGCCCACCACAGCTGCCGCCCCCACCGCACGCAAGACAGGTTGGTCCTGCCCGTGGGGGGAGGCTGCTGATGCTCAGCCCAACCAAACCGGCGATTACCCATCGGCCTGGAATGCAGCTTGGGGACCAGGCGCACAAATTCTGAGCCCGCACGGGCCTGCCCAAGCCGAGCCCCAGCCCAGGGTGCCGTCGCCAGCAGCCACAGCTCTCCCTGCTCCAGCCCAGCAGGCCCATGAGCCGCAGGCACAGCACTGGGATCCCTGGCCACTTAGCAAAGCAAGGTGGCTCAAGACACAGGTGGAAAGCAGCCCCCATACCCAGGTAGGGATGGCACAAGGGCCACAGAGCAGCAGATCCCAGCAATCCTAGCAGATGCCCCCGTGCCATGTGCCAGCCCCTCTGATGGTAGCAAGATGTCATCTCATTAATGCATCGCATGAACACCTCTCACCACGTAGCAGCTGCTGCAGCGCACAACAGAGCAGGGGTGCAGAGGCTGCTCCAGCTGCAGCTCCAAGCTCCCATGGGAGCTGGGTCTTTTCCCAGGTCTGCTGCTAGCCAACTGTCCACCACGCACACTGCAGCGGTCAGCACTGTCCATACCCAACTCCCCAGGCAGCAGGAGGGCCCCAAGGTGGGGCACACCAGGGAGAGAACACCTGTGACAGTCCCAGGGACCTGCAGCCTGGTGCAAGCTGCAAACCAGGGCACCTGAGTCAGGCCCCTTCCCCTGCCCTAACTGGCTGAGGGTCAGAAGCCCAGAGCCGCCGCAGCCTACGGCACACCTGGCCACAGTGTCCAGCCAGCAGCACCAGCAGTGCAACGCGAAGCACTGGCCACAGACCGACAATTCCCAAGGCAGGAGCTGGAAGCTGACGAAAACCATCTCCTTCCTGCCTGGCCCCGCCGGACGTCCGGGACAAGGCCGGCGGGCTCCATCCCCCACCCCGCCCCAAGACCCCGCTCCGTAGGGGCACTCTCGCCTGGGGCTCCACGTGGCTTGTACCAGGTTACGGGAGAGCCCAGAGCCCTGTCATGCCGCTACAGCCGAGGAGCCCCTGGCAGCAACCACCGTGCCCACTCCTGGTGCTCCCAGGTTGCCACCCGTGCCCAGAAGCCAGTGCAATCCTGCCCCCCCAGCAGGGTGCCGCCTCCCTGGGCCAGCCCCCAGCCCCGCTGCGGTGAAGGAAGCGGGGCGACAGGCCTGAACATGTCTGTGAGCTGCCGCAAGGCGAGGCAGGGCTGGGCTGGCGCACACCGCACCGTGCCGGAGACATGCCTGACTGGGAAGCACTGTGCCAAGGCCCCAGGGAACAGCTCGCTCTCCAGTAGCAACCGCAGCTGAATCCTTGCCTGCAGGGGATGCTTCTCAGCAGGGCGGGAGGTGTGGGGCATGCCGGGGAGCTGCTGGGCTGGGAACCTTCTCCTGTACTGTCCTAAGGAAGCCCCTGGCAGTGAGGGCAAGGAGCTCTTGCCCACACCTCCTGGCCGGGCCGCCTGCCCACAGGTGCCTGTCATTACACTGTCCAGGGCTGGGGCCAGAGCACGAGGCAAGGACCACGCCCCTCCTGCAGGCTGGCACAGGGCCAGCCAGGGTGTTTCCTACCCGGAGCCCACCCAGCCAGAGCTGCAAACCAGGCATGCCCCAAGTATGCAGGGAGCCTGCCGAGTGTACCAGGTGAAGCAGGCATCTGGCAGCATGGCATGGCATGATGCAGTGCTCACTGCCATGGGCCACAGGCCTGTCTTTCTGAACATGCCAGCCAAGCACATGTCTGCAGGCACAGGGCCCCACATGTGAAGACAAGCTGAGAAATACATGACGCCAGCGAGGGCAGTGTGGCAGGCAGGGCCAGCCGTGCAGCTCCACTGGGCACATCTGCTGTCACTGCCCCAGCTGACCAGCCCACAGGCCCCCAGGGTCACCCACTCCATGGCAGGAGATGCAGATCCTTTGGCATCCCAAAGCAGGGCGACAGCTCCACACAAGGACAGCCAACCTGGACATGCAGGCACTGGGCACCAACACACCAGATGTACCCCCAGGAGCTCCTGGCAGCCAGGGCGTGGAAACGACACAGGGCACTTCCACAGCCAGTGGGAGCAGCGGCCCTTGTCCTGGCTGCTGCACAGAGTAGCTGAGGGAGCATGAACCACTCGGAGAAAACCGCTGCAGGAGGGTTGTGTTAACTGGCAACGCTGGCACTTGCTGCCTTCTCCACAGCCACTGGCTCCCGGGCCTGACCGAGATGAGGCTAATGCGATCATCACTGCAGCAACCTGTCCGGAGGCCCTTCGGTGCCCTGAGGTCCCAGCCTGGGATGATGCCGGGTCCAGGCTGCAATCCCACGTACCGACCAGGAACGCATCGCACGGTTCCCCGAGCACAGCACTGATCCAACCCCAGCCCTTCTCCTCACTCCCTGCATGGCACCTCTCCCAGGCAGCATCTCACAGCCTTCTCGGGGCTCCACTCCCAGTGCTTGTGGGCCCCTGCTCCTGTGCTGTGCTACATCTCCAGCTTGCCCTCGCATACAACACCCGCAATGCCTCTCCCTGAGTAGCAGCCTTGCGCGCCCATCCCCAGCCTTCCCCGACTGTGCTGAAGGGGATCCAGGGGGTCCTCCACCAACTCCAGGCCAGAGGTTCCTGTTGTCCGAGGCTCAGTTCCAGGCAGAGTCCTGTGCACAAGGCAGCTCCCTGTCAGGGGCCTCGGGCTGCTCCGGGTGTGGAAGGGGATGTAGCAAGGGAAGGCCCCAAGAGCGGTGCCAAGAGCTGTCTTTCAGCCTGCCCCACAGAGCCAGGCTGGCAATGGGCTTTGGGAGCTGTAGTGGAAGCTCACCAGGGAGACCCGGATGGGCTCCTTGATAGGCGTCTCAGTCAGGCTCCTGCTGGAAACCTCGGGGCTGCATGAGCTCCACAAATGCCCCTGCCAGCAGCGCATGGAGCCTGCAGGGGCTCAGAAGTACGGGCCTGGCGCTCTACTGGCCTGGAGCCTCCAACCACAGCGCGGAGGGGCTGGGCACAGTCCCTCTCCTGAAACAGCCTCTCCCCTGGCTCCCAACAGGCAGCAGTCTCCAGCCAGGCCCTGGGCTGCGCTCCCCTCCCCTCCCCTGACGCCCCGGAGGCTTGCATTGCCTGGCAGGGCGGAGGCAGGAGTCCCAACCAGCAGCAGCTGCAGCCCTCGGCACAGCTCCTGCTCACAGATAAATCACCATCCCTAATGAGAGGCTGTCAGGGGAGTCGCCCAGAACCAGGCCCCAGACTCCCCGCTGCAACCTGACACCAGGCGGGGTGAAGGGGCCACACAGGCACCAGGCATGGGGCAGCCGTCCTGCAGGGCCAGGCCCTTTCTGCTGCCCCAGGGCTCCCTGTGCTGAGCCAGCACAAAGCCTCCCAGGCTACAGGCCGACACTGCCGGCTCCTGCCACTGAACCCCACGGCCACAAACCCTGCACGGAGCTCACATGCACGTGGTGTGAAGGGCCACCCAGCCTCACCCAGAAACCAGCTGGGAGGCGACCACCGGCCCAGCACCAGCCCAGTTCCCAGGGGCTGCCAAGGCAGGCGTAGCTCTCCAAGTGCTGCTGCCGCCCAGGCACCGCAGGGGCGAGGCCCCACCGCACTCGGTGCTGCACAACCACAGGAGAGGGACAGTTGTCATCCCGCAGAGCTTGCCACCAGGGATAGGACATGAGACAGCAGGTGGAAGCGGGCAGAGACACGAGGGTGAGGAGACAAGGAGTCAGTGCTGGGCAGCTCACGCAGCCGCCTGTCCAGGGGCACACAAATCTGATTAGAGCGCACTCACGTCCACACACACCCAAGGGGCTGGGGCGGGGGGGATTATCCTCCCTCTAGCTCAGCCAGGAAAGACCAACATGCCCTTCGCAGAGGGATGCTCCCTGCAGCAGCTGGAGCTGCTGGCATCCCGCTACCAGCAGCAGCAGCGAGGCCGGAGCGCAGAGGCAGGGTGCGCTCCCAGGCCAGGCGCCAACACCGTTCAGCCTCCAAGCACAGTTCACCCCCCGCCCGTGCGACCCCAGAAAGTGCAATGGCAGCTCACAAACGCATCGCAGCCCCTCAACTGCCTCGCTACCGCGTGCGCAGGGGCTTGTCCCCCGACTGGCTGCGCCAGGGGACTGGCTGTTGCAGGGTGTCAGGAGAACCAGCCACAGCACAGCTCCCTGGTCGAGGACCAAGGGACACGGGAGAGACCTCGTCCCTGCCCCCGCTCGGTCCCACTGAGCCACGGCCAGAAAACACCCCTGCCGAGCGCTGATGACAACGTGCCACCCTGCAGCCCTCCTGCCACCACGTCCGCTCTCCCTGCCCCAGATCCCGAGCCTGGCTCACCACCTCCTCCAGCCGCAGCTCGCCAACCGGCCGCCACGCTGCAGGATGCCCCGGGGCAGGTTTCACCCCTGGTTCACAGATGGACACGTGTTAAGGGTCACACGGCCAATCTGCAGTGGGGCCGGGGTGAGAAGCCCGGGCTCCAGGCAGCAACCAGCACGGACTACAGCCAGCTCGGGGGAGCCCACGGGCCAGGGCCTGCCCACAACCCCCTGGCCTGAAGATTTTTTTTTTTAAGCAATGTTTTGTGCTCCGAGCCAGATCAGCCAAACCGAGCCCAGCTCCCCGGCTCAGCCCGGAGCCGCGGGTGGCCCTACAGCCCGCAAACCTCCTGCACCCCGCCAGGCCCTTCAGGGATTTCCCACGGCTTCCGGCGGCGTCCGACCCGCATCG